AAAAAAAAAAAGAACAACTAACCGCTAAATCCTGTAAACGATTATCAAGTCCATGAACGGTAGCAGTAGCAATTTGATCGTCCGCTACAATGGGCAATGAGGCGATTTGCGCTTCAACTTCATCTTTTGTTGCATTGAATGCTGCAAGTGCTGCAAGCTTTTCGCCAACTGCAGCAGCCAAACGCGCCAGCAAATCGTTCAATTGACTTAATTGCCAGTTACTTCTTTCACGCATCTCATTGCCCTCATCACCAGGTGGAATGTTCTCAACGAGGCTTACAAGTTGCCGTTTCTTTGCCTCCAATTCACTCAATGTAGCATTTTGCTCGGCAACCGTCTGCACTGGTGACTGTTCTATTTCGTTTACGCGATTTTGTATACTTTCTGTAATTAAGCTTATTTCTGGAGCTATTGCTTGTAGTTTGATACGCATCGTTAATAGCTGACTCTTATCAGCAAGAGCATTTTGTAGCTGTGTAACTCGAGCCGATAAATCATCTGTTACTGGCGCACGTTTCACCAAACCTTCTGCAATTCGTAACTTTTCCTCCAGTTTCTCGGCTTTCCCCTTTAACTGACGTAAATTTTCGGCAAGCTCACCAATATTTTCCAGCTTCTCAGATGGTTCAACATTCGGATCAATGGCAATCACATCATCACCAATAGCGGTTAATGTTGAAAGCATTTCATGTAAATCACGCATCAGTTCCTGCTCTTTCCGTACATCTTTTTCAAGCGGAATGAGCAAATTTCTAATCTGATTCTTAACAGTATCCGCTCTCTTCGCTAACTGTTCTTTTGCCTGACGCTGCGTGATACTTTCGATTTGCACCATTGGAATTTGCTCAAGCAACGAACGCAGACAAGCTACATCTTCTGTTGCGATCACTAATTCCTGAGCAGCAATATATCTATTGCTCTGCAAATCATCACACCGCTTACTGATCTCATCAAGTTTCTGTTCAACACCATCTCGAAGCTGCTCCTGCTCTTTCGCTTGTGCCAGTTTGTCATCTAATTGCA